GACCTAAATATTCTCTGTTATCAAACATGTAAAAAAAAAAGGCTGAGGAGGGAGCGAGCGTAGAAATATTGATATTTTTTATTTGCATTTCGGGGGGAAAGTGATTTTCTAATAATAATTTGACGTTATTTTTGATTTTTATAACGTATGACATACACAACTTTACTCTTATCATGAACAATAATGTTTTATCTACTTATCATAATGGGACTATTTTGGTCGGACCAATTTGTGTGAGCCGCCGCTGAATACAGTAATATATCTTGCATAAATAGTATGCACTGATCGAATATATTAAAAAGCCACACTGCTTTATGCTGAAAAATCATATGGAAACCTGCAGACATAAGCAAAATTGCGAGGTACACAAAATAAATGTCGGACTCATTCTCAGTAACCTAATACATGGATTTGCCATTTATTACAATGTACAAAAAGTTTACTTGTTCAGTAAGAACCTGCGGTAGAAATAAGTACTATAAATCTCTTTTAAACCCATTCAAACACTATCAAAAAGGATTGGTAAAACATAACAACAAAAATATCAACCTGAAAGAAATTACAAGCATTGGTGGCAGAAGGGGTGGATGGTGGGTTCGAAAAATTCAGCAGTTCAATAAACCATGCTTTCTCGTTTGGTAAACGGATCAATAATGATCACGTGGAAAAGGGTAAAATTAGTTCAAAAAAGGAACCGAATAGCTACTTAGTATAAAACTATGTCCAATACAGACACTGTTTTATAATAACATAATAAAACAAGAACATGTCACATAAATGAAATTATTTGCAATAATTACTATTTCATGGAAAATGCAGCGGTTGCTCACTCCTCCATGGCACCTGATAATACTGGGTTCGGAGGTCCGTGTTCGTTCTGCTCCGATTTTGTATTGTTTAATGGACTTCTGAGCTTGAATGTTAATTGTTCCTCATCTTCATATATTTCATTTTTTACCATGCATATGTCAACACGATATATCCCGGTGATTTTGTTATAAAAGATACTACAGAGTCTGTCACATTTGTTCGTACTGAGTACTAGTATATACTGGGGCGTATTTGGATATTTTCCTAGAAAAAGACATTAATGGTATGCAGCAATATACCAAAATACCTGCATATGGGATTTATATCTCTCAGTTGATTCAATATGCAAGAGAATGGTCTTCGTGTGAAGAATTTTTAAACATATCGAGGTAATTTATTGACAAACAAGCTGATGAAACTAATTTTAAGTCATCATTTCGTAAGTTTTATGGTTGATACAATGACCTATCAGCAAGAACAATCGTAGACCGTATCCCCTCCCGAGAAAAAAAACAAGAGGCCCATGGGCCACATCGCTCACCTGAGTAGCATTGGTGATGTCGATCTTTACCCAATTTCCCCCGGGGGTCATGATTTTAACAATTTAGAATCTACACTATCCCAGGATGCTTCCACATGAGTTTCGGCTTTTATGGCCTAGTGGTTCTTGAGAAGAAGATTTTAAAAGTTTGTTCCCATATATTTCTATGTAAAACTTGGATTCCCTACATGTATTGCGGCCCCGCCAAACTCCCGGGGGTAATGATTTGAACAATTTAGAATCTACACTACTCCAGGATGCTCCCACATAAGTTTCAGCTTTTCTGGCCCAGTGGTTCTTGAGAAGATGATTTTTTAATGACCCAACCCTATTTTTGTATTTTCTTTATTATCTCCCCTTGTTAGGGGTCTTAGTCCTTTATTTAAACAATTTAAAATCCCCTTTACCTAAGGATGCTTTGTACCAAGTTTGGTTAAATTGGCCCAGTGGTTCTTGAGAAGAAGTCAAAAATGTGAAAAGTTAACAGACGGACGGACGGACGACGGACAAAATGTGATCAGAAAAGCTCACTTGAGCCTTCGGCTCGGGTGAGCTAAAAAAAACTAGATCCGCTCAGGTGTATTTTTGTGAACTTTTGTGCGGAGCAAATCTAACGGAACCCTCCCCCTTTTATTCAAGATATATTAATTTGTTTATTATGAAAAGTGGAGGGAACTAAACCCAGTCGACATTTTATCATGTCTTTTTTTTACTTTTATCTGAGAGTCTTTTGCAAAATGGCAAAATAGCATGAAGTCAGTGCTACTGAGATACTTTAGGATGAAATTATATGCTAAATTTTACCATGATGGCTCACAAAACACGATAGCAAAAATGTATAGGAACAACATACAAAAACATACAAACGGATTATTCCTTTCTTTATGAATAGACAATGCAACAATCTAATTAAAATCAGACTTCTTAGATCCGCGCCGTATGTATACACTCTGCGTATGATAAATTTGCGGTTTCTCGATTAATAATATAATAGTTTGCCCTTGTACCTTCACATTTCTTATTTGAAGCATAGAGAGTACATGTATATCATATATGCGAAGTTAGCCGAGGATTACCGATTGAGATCTGATGACGCTTTTCGATTATGACGTCATATCGCATTTAGTTTCCCATTTCAAATTTATTTTTTTTTAAAATTCAAACGGAATATCAAAATCAGTCTGAGGCAAGTGAATATTTCAAAAGGACGAGATATATAAAAGGTAAGCAAATTTGGCAATTTATTTTTACGTTTTTGATTTATGTGTTGCTAATAGAGATGACGTCACACTTGGATACTACTAGGGAGGTTGCGTTGTGGTTACCGCAGTTAGTTACTCACTTTTCTCGATAGAGAGTAGACGTGTTTTTCGCACAGTGATACAAATTGCAATTATCACAATGAAAAGGCAAAGATCTTCAGAGAGAAAAAGCCAGAGTGTGTCTAAGAGGGTAATGCATCAAAAAATAAAATATTTACCCCTGAAAATCTTTTTCGTTCATAATAAAACACCTTTTACCATTTCTGCAAAAGGGGGAACACCTTTTTTCCCCGTTGCATGTAATAATATCTTGTAACTTCATATTCAACGCACGTATCATTAGTGTCATAAGAAAGACATTAAATTAAAAACAAATTTCTTGTTCAGAGCTTGCCATGTAATATGCAAAACCTAAGTGCATAGGCGTAGGAAACGGGGGGGGGGATGTTCCGCATAGGGAATGTAAATCGGGGATTTCCGTGAAGTAGAAAGGGGATATTTTAACATATAAAATAACAAAACATATCCTGATAGATAAAGAATTGCGATTCGGGTATGATTGCACTTCGTACAAAGATCATTTTTAAGCCCTGCTTGATCTTAAAAAAGGAAGCCGTCTCCTATCATCGATTACGTTAAGATATATTTTGTTGAATATTTACTATAGTATTATATATAAGAACCAACACGATACACATGTAATACCATTCATGTCAATAAAGGATAATTCGGTCCTGTGTGCTTGCTAGCGGTATATAAATAAAGAGATAAATAAATATAAATAAATTAAAATGCAACATTTTTATTCACTTGAGGTATGGGTAATACAGCTTGAAGTTTTTTGTTATATTTAGCGCCGTATAGAGGCCTCTTCAGATGACAAGCAGTGGTACGAGGTGATGCTGAGTCTGGCGGCTAAATCTGCTGTAAGTCTGTCTGTCTTTCTGTCGCTCTCTTTCTGTTTGTAGTAACCTCTGTCATTTCTTTCTCTTTCTCATATCGATCTTCAGTAATAACCTATCATTTCTCTCCCTGGCTGTCTCTCCCTCGTCTTCAGTAGTAACCCCCCCTCTCTCTCTCTCTCACTAATAACCTGTCATCTCTCTTTCTCTCTCACCTCTTCAGTAATAACTTCTGACTGTCATTTCTCTCCAGTGTCAGCCAGTTTTTTTACTTCTGCTCTCTCTCTCTCTCTCTCTCTCTCTCTCTCTCTCTCTGTAATAACCTCTGTCATTTCTCTCCAGTGTCAACCAGTCTTTACTTCTGCTGCTCATGGATGGGTAGAGCACATTGAAGACTGGGTAAGAATCTGACTGCATGGGAGCATGTTTTACATAAAATAAGTTAAATATAAATATACCTTGATAGTTTTATAGCTAAGATGTCTAATATCGTATAATGCATGACTTCTTTATTTTTTTTTTTTAGCGTAAACTGACCAGTGCTATAAACAGGTCTGAGGAGCGTAGGGAACTACCCACCATTCCACAACCTACGCACCAGGTTAGTGTTATATCTTTGAATTCAAATTCTTAATCTTATGGTAGGTATTTTAGATAGTTAATTCTTCCCATCTCTTTGACTAGTGATTCAGGGATGTTATTTTTTTCTTTGAAAAGAAGAAAAAAATTTATCCACTAAAAAATCAACAAAAATACAAATATTCTGAAAAGTTACACTCCTTCCTACACAAGAAGATCCCCTTACACTGATTCTTATTCCTGTGTAAGTGAAAGTAAATAAAAATGAAAAGTCACGTTGTAATTAACCTTTACAGATGGAGTGGTTGGCTAGGGTCAACTTTAAGCACAGAGCAGTGCGCCGTGAAGTACCAGAACAAAGACGCCGTGACGTACCAAGCCAGAGACAACCCAAAGTCTCCAAAAGTCACGATCTGAACTCCTCATTTTACGTCTACTAAAGAGGAATCTGTTTTTGGTAAGAAGAACTAATGACTTATGTCTGATTTGCTGATTGATGTTATCAAATTTACCTTTTTATGCCCCGTCTTCCCCTACGGACCATTAATTTGGACCCTTTGACCTTGATTTTTAACCCACTATTAGAAAATATTAACCTCGACCATAACTTTAGAATGGTTTTTGCTTTGACTTTGATATTTACCAGGTATATCCCTTGACACTAGTGCTTTCTTTGGTTAACAATCTTTTTATCCCTTGACCTTGGAGCTTGACTTACATTTGAAAACTTAAACCTTCGCCATAAGCTGTCTTGCGTAGGGGGGGGGGGGGTGCAGAGTTTCACAACACACAATTTAATTTTCTTTATTCCAAAAAAGAATACATAGACATAGAAATTATAACCTTGCTCCTTTTCTAGGCAATAGTTTCATTAGAAATATGAAATCTTTATTAATCAAACGGGGCATAAAAAGTCTCAATTCATTTAGATTACAAAAAATACAATTGATATATTCACATTGTAGGTAAAGATATAGACGGCAAACATATTCTGTCAGCAAACATCTTTGTCAAGATGGACATAGTGACAATACCGTTTGCACTTGCACTCTGTGTTTTAACACTTGACCATGGAATACTTGCAACTTTAAGCATGTTTCGTTTCACAAAGACAGTGCCGTCTTCAACATATAAATGTTGCATGCTTGATGAGACATTGCTGATAGTGCATCCATGCGAGAACCACTGTGCTGAAATCAAATTAATTGAAAGTGCTGAAGTGGGACTGTGTTGTTGTCCACGCATGTGTGACATACTAAGCAGAGACTTTGTTCATAAGGCAATTTTTATTGCCATTTCAAGACAGACAATGTGATCAAAACTAATATGGGCCGAGCTTTTGTATAGTTACGCCATTTCTAGGGACAGTGTGCATGACCTGTACATATATATATTTTTGTATTTAATACTGTAACAATTTCTGCATTCAGAAGGATTGCTTTTTGGCAAATTTTATTTGCCGTTATTTTGCAGATCTGAACTCACCATTTTAGCGGTTTATTTCTCTTTGTACATTTGTATATGAAGGTCACCAGAAAATGAAGATTGAAGATTCAAGCTAGTCTGAAAATTCAACATCATTTTGATTTTCATTACACATTTTCCTCTCTTTGTAAAAAAAAAATCAGGATTATTTCAAGTTTGGCTTGATATTTTAGATAACTTATTTAAGCGGCAATCAGAAGTTGGACGGTTATTCGCTATTCGCTATTCGCCATTCGAATGGCGAACCGCAGGCTGTCTGCCGTTCGCTATTCAAATTACCGTAAATGTCCTAATAATTTTTTTTTCAAAAAACTTTAAAAACGCATCATAATCCGTGTTTAAGAAGAAAAGCAGACTTCACTTAACCCCCATCCCCGCAATCACGCATTTTAACGCATATACCGTTGCCTCGCAATCACGCATTTTAACGCATATACCTTTGCCCCGCAATCACGCACTTTAACGCACTTTTCGTTTTTGGCGTTTTCTGCTTACATAACGCGTAAAATTTTGATGGTATGACAATAAATGATTAGATTATAAATTTTGTAATTCCATTCTAATATCTTTTGCAAATAATAATATTTTTCCTCAATTTAATATGTCCGAATCGTTCGATTTATTTGACGAAACTTGGAATGCAAGACAAATTAAGGTCTTTCTTTTGACGCTAAATAAGATGGGACCCTTTATTCAGAATTTATCGAATTCGACGAATGATTTTTTTATGTAGGTCTTTGATAAAAACCTGTGCAGAAATCGACCAATGGAACGTATAAAATTAAAAAAAGAATTTTTAAGTTTATACATACTCATTCAAGAGTACAGAAAAGAAGTTTGTTCGTAGAAAATAGGTTTGTTCCATTTTAATCTAATCTTATGTTATGTAGTTTCATTTTGTCTTCTTTCTTGTTCTATTTGAATTCAAATTCGTAAAACCTGATTATTTTCCTACCTTAAACATGTTACACAGCAATAAAAAAAATACACATACACAAATGAAAAGGAACAAAATAAAGGAACGACAATATCGTGTTGAAAAAAGGTTGATTTAAATTTGAATGTTTTCATTATCAAGTCAACGTTTCCGATATTGTAAAAAAAAGTGTTGCACTTACGTGATCGCGTGTCTTCATTTCTAAACATATACGTATACATGGAACAAGATACATGTATTCGGGAAAATTTTAAAGTATACTGAATACTTGTTTTATATTTTTTTTTTATAAAGGCAGAACGAACAAGAAGTCTGTGAGCCAATGCTCGCCAATAATGCCCCACTCTGAAGTTCAGTTACAGGCAGATGCACGGAAAAAAATATGAAGTTATTATCAGATTCATATACAAAAAAATTCCACTATATGACATGTTTTAACAAAGATTGTGCTAAAATTTATAGAATCTGCGATGAGTAGTTGATTTAAAAAATGCGATAAAAAATTGTTACATGTGTGTTTGGTAAGGACAGACGCACGGTAATACAGGGAGTTGACATCGGATTTGAACAAAAATAAAACCACCATATGGCATGCCACAGTGACGAATGTGCTAAAATTTTAAGCATCTGTAACGAGTGCTGCGTACTTGTTGAGAAAACTGCGATCAAAAACGGACAGACACACAGCTAGACAGACGGAAAACACACAAGGGTAAAACAGTATACCAGGTCTCATTCGCAGCGGGGGTATGGTTAAAAGACTAATGTCTACTGATTAGTTTTATCAGTGAGTATATAGTCCCTTAAAGGAATATTAATTTTCCTTATAGGAATATATCCGCCTCCAGTACGTTCATATCGTCAGTATATTATTTGAAAATATTCACTTATCAGTCGCTTGTTTAAGAAAACATATAAACTCTGTAGGTTCATGTATGTCAATACTGCATACTTTAAAAATAATAACTTAAGTTTTGAAAAATCTTGGTTGGCGAAGTAAACTTTCAAGAAGAGGACGGAGATTTGGTCTGATTGGATTCTTCAACCAGCTATATGTTTGTGATATACAAAGAAAATACTTTTGACATCCACTTGTGTATGGACAGTTAAATATACCATGTAGATACATTAATGAGGAGCAATGCATTTGGACGCTTAAAACTTCATTCTTTTTGGAATAAGAGTACATTGGGGGGGGGGGGGGGGGGGGGGGGGGGGGGGGGGGGGGGGGGGGGGGTATACTTCTTTGACCAACAGCTATTTAAATTTTTTTCTGCATTTCATCTCCGAAATTATATTATTACATTTAGAATTTCCGGCATTTTTTTCTTCGATCAACAGGTAGATTGTTAAATAAAGGGACTGATTATAAAATATATTTAGCATTTCATTTTACCACAGGAATGCTTAGCATTTCGGACATTTTTTTGGGGGGGAGATTATGGATCTTGTCTACCAAGTTTATGAAAAATCGATCAATAAAAAAGAAAATCAGCTACACTTGAACTATATCATGTCAGTGATGCCCGACACACATGAAACTGATCTCAATTTCACATCCATGTTTTTTTTTTTAAAATAAAGATTTTGATGTCAATGATTTGTCGGTATTGTTCAAAGATAATAATTTCAATTTTCAATTAAGAAAGTCTTCGGTCACAGTTTTATTTCCTGAAATTTACTCTGCAATAAATGTCGGAAAATAAAACTATAAATTGTCAGTTTACTACATGTATATAATGTCGGAAATAAATAAGTAGAATATAAATAATCGGAAAAAAGAATGCAGTCAATATATTGAGATAATCTGTTTATTCTCCTGTCTGATCTTTATGAACATTTATTTCGGTCAGAATTGTATATCTTTTACAAACACAATCAAATGTATATCCTATTTTTCTGCCATTAACGTGTATTTTTTTAATACTATAGTAATATCATGGGAAATCACAAAAGTATATATTGAAAAAATTGTATATCCACTACGCATTTACTCCTGATAGATCCTGAGTAATTGATTAATTTTATTGTATATCATGTTATTACCGTATAAGTCGAAATTTTAGCGAGACGCAAACTTAGCGATTTCTCCTTAAAATCTGGTAATTTTTTTTAGCGATATTCAATTTTAGCGATTTGAAAATGGTCGCTGAAGAAGCTATTGCAAATAAAAAACAAATCATTTTTAGCGATATTTAATTTTAGCGAACTCAGAACCCTCGCTAATAATGCCAAAATTAAATCCTCGCTTAAATTTCCACTTATACGGTAATTAGACTTTTTTTGCAAGTTTGAATAAATTGATATAAATACGTCATTTTCTTGATTAAAGTGGACAGGTTTTCGTGTATATCGACCCTGCATGTTCATAAAGTTCATCGTGTCATAGAAATCTGTTGGCAACCCTTGGAAAAATTGTGGAAATATTTTCTATATTTCTCAATAAATACAGCTACAATTAATGCTTTTTCATAGAAACATGTTTAAGATTACTGTCTCATTTGCTCCACAAATAATCGGAATACTTATAGGACAACATCGGGAAATTGTCGAGTACTGATCGCTTCGTCCGAGACGTTCTTGGACTCGTTTGTAAACTCTTCTATTGTTTTTAAAAATGTGTAAAAATTCTTTTCGATGTTTTCCTTTTCTCTTTTATTTATTTATTGCAAATTCGCCTACAGCCCCATATCTCCCAAGTTTTTCTTTATTGTTAAACTTGCTGATTTTTTAGTAGCCCACATGTACCTGTAGGTGTAAAGATTCTGAAATCTTCGCTATAGCCAAGGGATTCCGATACGCTTCACATCTCCACCATGCACTAGAGTTTGGATCGGAAACCCTTGGCTAGCGAGGTTTAGATACATATTGCTAATTTAAGACTGGTTATTTTAATGCCGATTTCCATGGCAGTATTTCGTCCGTATATCAGCCAAAATATTGATAATAAGATGTGATCAGTTCAATTTTATTACAAGTATTTTAAAAATTAAAATGTTTATCAAAATGATGACTAAAAAAAAACTGTTGAATACAATAAAAAGTATTTGTACATCTTCAAATTTTTACAGGGGAGGGGTATGGGAGGGACCCTTCCACTGTCAAATGGAATTTATGTTACAAGACCGGGAACCCATTTAGCTAGCCCGGAGAAAATTGGAAAAAAAACGTATAATTCTATTATATGTATTTCTGAATAAGAGTACATTGCCCGGGGGGCTGGCTAACATCGAAGATCCCATATTTAGACCTTCATATTTTTACAGGGGAGGGGTATGGGAGGGACCCTTCCACTGTTAAAAGGAATTTATGTTACAAGACCGGGAACCCATTTAGCTAGCCCGGATGAAATTGGAAAAAAAAGCCTTATAATTCTATTATATGTATTTCTGAATAAGAGTACATTGCCCCGGGGGCTAGCTAACATCCAAGATCCCATATTTAGACCTTCATATTTTTACAGGGGAGGGGTATGGGAGGGACCCTTCCACTGTCAAAAGGAATTTATGTTACACTAGCCCGGATGAAATTGGAAAAAAAGCCTTATAATTCTATTATATGTATTTCTGAATAAGAGTACATTGCCCTGGGGTCTGGCTAACATCGAAGATCCCATATTTAGACCTTCATATTTTTACAGGGGAGGGGTATGGGAGGGACCCTCCTACTGTCAAAGGGAATTTATGTTACAAGACCGGGAACCCATTTAGCTAGCCCGGATGAAATTGGAAAAAAAAGCCTTATAATTCTATTATATGTATTTCTGAATAAGGGTACATTGCCCGGGGGGCTGGCTAACATCGAAGATCCCATATTTAGACCTTCATATTTTTACAGGGGAGGGGTATGGGAGGGACCCTTCCACTGTTAAAAGGAATTTATGTTACAAGACCGGGAACCCATTTAGCTAGCCCGGATGAAATTGGAAAAAAAGCCTTATAATTCTATTATATGTATTTCTGAATAAGAGTACTAGCTAACATCGAAGATCCCATATTTAGAACTTCATATTTTTACAGGGGAGGGGTATGGGAGGGACCCTTCCACTGTTAAAAGGAATTTATGTTACAAGACCGGGAACCCATTTAGCTAGCCCGGAGAAAATTGGAAAAAAAACTTATAATTCTATTATATGTATTTCTGAATAAGAGTACATTGCCCTGGGGTCTGGCTAACATCGAAGATCCCATATTTA